ACTATGATGTCACCCTTATCCTAAGACAGCAGCGCCCTCTGGTTGATTTCGAGAAAGCCATGTGAAAGGTAAAATAAATAAGAAAACGAATAATAAAATGTCAATAACAGCTTATCATGAAACATATTTTTGTTAATTGATATAGGTAATTTTCTGAAACCATAAAACAAACTGATAACCTTAAGACCTAAAAATAATTATATTTTTTTAAATGCAAGTGTATTTGCTAATCAGAGAGGAAATGGGATTGGATAAGGCTTGGTTAGCATGCTGGGCTGCAAAGAAGAAGGGCTTTGCACTTTCAGCTACGCTTGCATTACAAAAATTGTACTTAATGTCATTTTTTCAGCTAAAAGCTAGATAAATGCTGCTGTTTACTGCTTTTATTCCCATCATTAGCTCAAAATTGGGGATAGCCATAGCTAAACATAATATCTCTGAGTCCCCCAATGGGTTAACAGCAACATTACAAACTTACAATGCTAGAATTCAGGGCTCAGTTCCCCACAATGGACAAAGCATAGGTATTTTATTGTGTAGCTTTGCGCTAAAACAAACCAATGTTTCTGATCTAGCCATTTAATACACATGCACAGATAAAATTATTGATACCAAGATCAATGTGAAAGAAGATGATTAATATTAAAATTTGGATAGAACCATTTTCTGTTATCTTTTTTTATAGATTTGATCATGTGCCACAATTTTCTTTTTCAAGATCTACAACACCATTGATTGAATCAAATTGTTAAGGTGTTTTGATTCTGAGGTAACATATTTCAGATCGAACTGTTCGATGTAACGGGATGAGAGATTTATCCACAGAAATAATGGAAATGAATGAATCATGTGTAGCAACTTGCTGATAAAATTAAATCAGATGAAACTCTAATGAATGCAGTGGAATGACAGGAGTAATGGAAATGAATTATTAACTATATTTATGGATCCTGTGTCTGCTAAATGCTAGATCTGTAGATATTGACATTTGTTTGTTGGATGAAGTTTTCATTTTTTGTCCAACTCAGGCACGATGAGTTGATCATAGTTTGAGATACAGTGACGTAGCTAGTTGATTGTTTAGCTTAGGTTGTGGGTTACGAATTAGGAGTGCTTTCTTTTCTATTAGCATTCATTCATTTTTCGCCGAGTATCTGTTCGGTTTTTCGTTACAGTCTTTGCTTAGGTGGTTGTAGATTCCAGAATTATTGAAAGGGCTATTATGCACATGCTCCTTGATTCTAATACCCAAGGTTCGATCTGTTGGCCCAATATAGACTTCCTTGCAGCAAAGACACACACATTTGTATACTACCAGCGATTTTTGGAAGTAAGTATTTTGTCTTTAAAAAGGAAAAATCCGTTTGTTCAGTTTGAAGATAACTCTTGCTCATAGGTCAGTAGATATTATACTATTCTAATTTTTATCATGAGTAATGGAGACAGAACATATTACTTATTATGCTGTTTCCATATAATGTTGATTAAAATAACCTATTTATGAAAGAACCTACCGAAATTAATCAGGTCTTCGCATGTCCTTTTCAATTTTCCAGGATTCATGGGAATTATTTATGATAGACTCGGCTCGAGATTATTTCTAAAAAAACTAGATGAAATCAGCAGCCAGCTATGCTCACCAGAAAGATGTACTAATATCAAGTAACTTACCAGGTGAAAATTTTGATGGTGATCAGTTATTAATACTCGTTCTTTTATTTTTGAATGATTTATCAGAAAAATGTGTCATCAACAAAGCTCACGATAATACTGGAGATTATTTTATGGATATAGAGCCTTGTGAAGATGTAGAATACCCAACTTAATTCACATAAGTTCATCAATATCACTCAAGATTATGGCACGTACATCAAATAAAAAAAATGTGGATGCGCTACTTATAAAAATGTTCAGCTTGCCATTGAAATAAAAGCCAGCCACAAAGATTGCTGATAGACAGCTCAGAATATCTTTTCGAAACAGTAGAATTATTAGAGCGATTGATGCTGACATATAGGAACATTTAAATAATTTGGAAATTTTAGCTGGTAGATGAACTTTGCAGATTTTCAAAAGCTAAAGTGTATTTTCAAACTTAGATTATATTTCAAATATTTTATTAGGGTCTTCAAATTATAACATTATGTGAAACATGGATAAAGCCAAAGATCACAAAATTCATTACTGCTCACTAGAGAGTAAGCAGCCAATCAGTAGTACCCGCCGTCTATTTGGCTACTCTTAACCAAAAAGCAGGATTGACTGTTACCTTTATAACGTTCCTTCAACTAAACATGTGGTGTGTGTGTCAATGGATTCGGAATTTGAACCTCCAATTTGCAGCTTGGCAAGTTAATTACATGATCATGTCCAGCCCATCAACTTCTGTCAGAGACAGTCAAGTTGGGGCTACAGTTTTCTGCTCTAAACAAAGAAAGTGACCCATAAAAATTTGTCAAGAACACAAATACGAAAAAGGAGAAACAGTGATGGTGCTAATGAAATCAATTTAGAAAACACTGATTAGCTGAACCACCCCACTTTTGTTAATAAGTTAATTTGTCCTGATGTTATTTAACTTATAGAAATGAATATTTAGTCTTATTCGGATTGGAACTAGAAATTAAGTCATCACAATTGTTCAATCAGACACTTTCTAGACAAATAAAATGAGGGAATTGCCTATTATGAACTACAGGTGATGGTAGGATTTCAGACCAAAAAAACAATAAAGTTCAATAATCCTACTACGTAACGTGAAAGACATAGAATTCGAATGCCTCTCGCCACCCCCACCCCCCCCACCTCCCCAGTGGCACATCGGTATGTCTGCGGACTTACAACGCTAGAATCCAGGTTTCGATACCCGTGATGGGCAGAGCACAGATAGCCCATTGTCTAGCTTTGTGCTTAATTGCAAACAAATAAACGAATGCATCTCTATGGGATATATTTCATGAATAAATATGGCTTTGAATTGAAACTATCTTCAAAGAGTTTTACAATACATGTTGACATTTCAATGCGCTACAACCAGGCATCATAAGTTTATATTTCTCATATTTGTCATCCTCAAAAGAATATGCTTGAAAAGTGTTACATTATGCAAAATTTTAGCTAACAGTCTTTGAAATTTTCATTGTTCTTTCTATACTTTAATGCCTTTTGCCATTTTATGTGATCTCTGTTGGTCTCAGAATGATTTTATGTTAATTATAGTTATATTTTTGTATTTCATGTTCGCTATTTTAAACACTTATCATGCACAGATAAATTCAAATAATTCTAATATGTGATCTGGTAAATAAATATAACACCGACGGTCTGAAATTAAGCAATACTGTAGAGATGCATCAGACTAGAAATGTTCAAGACATATTTTGTTATTAAAAGAAATATATTATTTCAGATACTCACCTGGTTATTGTTTTTGATTTGAAGGTATGTTTTGGGTCGTTTCCCATATTGTTCTTTTGTATGATTCTGTCAATTAGGATTTTGTTTCTTGTTCTTTTTTTCTAATTTTTTATTATTGTAGCTATTTTGTATGATTTGATATTAAAAATGGTGATTCTTTGAAAATTTGAGTTTGAGGTATTCATTTAGAAAGTCCTGACCAGATATTTTCAACTTGTTAATGTCTAAGGTTTGTAAATGTTGCGTTTTATTCTGCTTAATAAATCTTACTTCAGCCTGCCTTGATAGTAATGAAGTGATGGTTTGATATCCTGCGAGTGAAACTGCTTGCAGCGTGTATTGTAAAGTTAGTTTTATCGATGTTAGGCTAAAAGTGGAACTTGGAAAAAACAACAACTTTGTTTTTATTGAATGGAATGACCTTTTTTTTTCCTGAATAGGAGATCCTGACTAACAAGGAAAATTTATTACAATAATAGAATCAGGTAAGTTAGAGTTTATTGTAGAACTAGAATAAACATGAGTAATAACTATTTGTTCGCCAAACAATCCAAATCCTTTTGTAATTAAAATATCCTCCTTCTCACTGCCAGCAACAACCAACTGTGTAAATATCGACAGCAAATTTAAGCAATTTATAAATCCATTCCTTAATCTATGACCTATGCTACTGATGTAAATCATAAAGAGTAAAGGTGCTAACAAGGAGTCGTGAGGTGCCCCCTTATGAAATTAATTCAGATTGATTGAACTCCGTTTATATCATCTCTACTTTTTTCTATCCAGCTATTTTTCTATTAAACGAGCTAAGTTATTCTCCCACACCTTTAGAAATCAATCTTTTAATAAACGTTTTTTTGGTCGCAGTTGGTTCACAAAAAGCAAGGGATAAAATTAAAGTATTTTATAATGACTGCTAGAAATTAATAGTAAAAATTTCGTTAAATATCATTAAGAGTAAGTAAAATATTAAGATGGGTGTAGAACCCATGGGGATGATAAAGGAAGACTCATTACTGATGATTATAAGATGGTTTGTTTGTTTATTGCTAAGTAGAAAGCTACACAACGGGCTATCTATGCTCTGCCCACCTCGGTATCGAAACCCGATTTTTAGCGTTATAATCCCACAGACTTACCTCTGAACTACTGTGGAAGGTACAGTTATGTGATGGCTGGGTTACTAAATTATATTTTTCCTCAATTTTTACTATTGCCAATTTTCTGTTTTACAGTGAAGTCGTTTTATAACTACCGAGTAAAATTATAATGACCCTTCCAGTTATAGGAAAACTTAGCTCTGCGAAAATATTGTCAGTACCACGTAAAACGTTTTAATGTCCTGTTAAGTGTGTAAAAAATAAATAAAATCTTTCCGAAACTTGGTAGACAGAATAACGTGGGTGTTGCAGATTCATATGCACAAATTATAACTTGAATTATCTTTTCTGTTTATTTTGGTAAGAAAAAGTTCTAGGAAATTAAATTACATATTGGTTTTTATTAGGTTACGTGCACCAATGGCAATAGAAACGAAATATTGATTTTACCACTGTAGATTACCAACATTGGTACTAGATGTCGCTAAAGTTTATAATGGCCAGTTTGTGTATAAGGCAATGTTTATCGGTAAAACTTAACATTTAGATGTTTGTGGAAAGGTTAATACCTAATGGAGGTGTTACAAAAAAGATTTGGAGAAGGAGTATTGTCACTGTTTGGTAAGTGTTTTGTTAAATGAAGGAATTATTGTACTTATTCATTGTGTGCAAAATTGGAGATTTCAATATTTTTGTGTGTTAAAAACATCTGGTTATTGTGTACTGTATTACTAGTAGTATAAC